CCTGGTGGAACCTCTTCTAACCGGTTCGGTAGATTTGACGAACCGGTTCTACCGAATAGGTGCGAACTGGTAGGAACCCACCTCTGAATCACACAACCAATATTCTATTCTGCTCTGTTCTATTCCCTACTACTACTCTACTCTACTCTACTCTGTCCTATCTAAGGAAGCCTCCTCCATCACTTAATTGCTGCTGATTCCCGTACTATTTGAAAGGGCTCACCAGCTTAGACTCAATCCTTTATAAGCAAGAGTTAGAACTGGTATTTCCCACTAGCATTGCCTGATACTCACTGATGACCTCGAGGTTGCTGTGCTCTGGATAGGTATATTGATTGTAGCCACCAAGGTCTCCCCGAAAGTAATACTTCCCCGAGAGTTCAGGGCTGAGACGGGAGATCTGCAGGGTGCAGTTGCGGAAATTCAGCTCTCCCAGCAGCCTACTGCGTCCAACGTAGCTCTCGTGGATAATGTTGGTGCGGGATTTGTAAACCACTGGGGGATAATTCTTGGGGTATGGGCTGTTGAAGTACCAGATGCCATGGATGGTTGCTGGGCGTAGCTCCTCCGGGTAGCTGAAGCGGCAGGGGATAACCACACAGGTGCCCTCAAAGGCAGTGATGTGTTCGGGCATCCAGGCGCTCCACGGTCCAGCCAAGACCCCTTTGGAAGGAGGCAGAAGAGACTCACAATGAAGGGGAGAGGAAAACACGTGATTGATTGACTGCCTGCTTCATTGCCGATTCTGACTTTTCTCGTTATGGACTGTGAGCATTGCTCCACATGGCGCCATTCCCTCACCCTGTTTGGTAGCTTATGCCTTGTACCCCAAAACTGCCTTGTACAATATTGAATGGGATCACTGGTCCTTCTTATTGGGTATGACGAATAATAGGGGTAGACTTGAGGTCCCTTTCAGGAACCTCCTTGTGGCTGTGTTACCTGCATCTCACCTGCCTTTGAATCAGCAGGAAAGGCCACGGAGATTATTTCTCTCCACGGCTGACAGTATCACAGCAATGAGACTGAATAGCGTTGCCAGCGCTACAGATTTAATGGGAGGCAGTTTCAGGGTAGAGACTGGGGGATTCCTGATTTCCTTCCCTTGAGATTGGCATCTCTTATTGGAAGAAGAAAAAAGTTGCCACCAATTGTTGTCCATAATGATCAACAAGGCAAGGAGCCGAGGTGGCGCAGTGGTTAGAGTGCAGTACTGCAGGCCACTTCAGCTGACTGTTATCTGCAGTTCGGCGGTTCTAATCTCACCGGCTCA